ACCTCCAAATTTTCAAAGCTTTGCCCCACCACCACCATTAGGTGTACAACCACCTCCTAACTTTCCTGGTGCTTCTTTGAATCCTTTTTATCTTCAACAGGTTGCTTCTTTTCAGCAACAACAACAGTTTTGGCAGCAACCACAAGTTCCACAACCACAACAGGTTTGTCATCTTAATTAAATGTTCGATTGAAGTATTTACAAATTAAGTGGTCTTTGTGGTTTTTTTTAAATATTTATTTATTTATCTGTTTATTTTTTTTCATATATATTCGACTAGCATACAAAACTCGTGAAAAATGTATAGTTCTCATTCTACTTTTTTCTGTTTGTTTCAATGATTCGAATTTTAAATTGTGCAATTTATGGTACAATAGCTTAACAATATCACCGAAAGTCTTGCGAAAGAAGCTGAACAGCCAAAGTCACAGCAACAGGTCTGCAATTTTGGCAGCAAAATTTACGCATGATTAACCCTGCTCCTCGATGGACCATGTTTATACCAATTCCTAACTCCTTGAATATTAGAAAGAGCATGGTACACCGGACAAAGTAGAAGACCATAAAACGGAAAAGAAGACTTCAGTGACCAAAAATTTCGTCAAGACGGGAAGTAGTTCCCGATCATCGGCACAAACAACAAACGTTAGGAATGAAAGTGCAATAGAAGCGCCATCAACGGCCATGGCCGTGGAGAACTTGGCCAAAAAAGTCAGCGAATTAAGTATTACCACGAGAGAGGTTAATGGAGAAAGAGGTATATTATTTGAATAGTTTCCTTATAATTATTTTGTCATTGTTTATGTAATTCATTCATTATAATTTGAATGTAATTCTATTTCAATGCATACCCAATAATAGTTATGGGCAACAATCGTTCTGTATCAAGCAATAACCGACTTCCTGGAATGGGAGGCCATCTTGTACAACAAAATCGCAGAGGTCGTGGCAGTAGAAGAAACTATAATCAAAGTTATGATCGTAATAGAATTCCCGTTCCGCAATCAGATTTTGATTTTGAATCGTCAAATGCCAAGTTCAACAAAGACGAACTTGTCAAAGAGGTTGTTAAGAAAATTATTCCTAACCATGATCTTAAAGAAGAAAATTGCGCAGATGGCCTCGAACTTGGCCCAGAAGAGGAGGAAGAGGAAGTTTTGATACCACCTGCTGAGACTTATTATGATAAGGCTAAATCATTCTTTGATAACATTTCTTGTGAAACAAAAGAACGGTTGGAACAGCAAGGACCTGATGGCCGGTTAGCTTTTTTTTTAAAGAAAATTTACTCAAAACATATATATGCATTTGATAATTATGCCTATTTATTAATTGTTAATAGAGGATTGTCTGTGGCTGAGCGAAGACAGAAACAATCCGAAGAAAGACGTCTGAATCTTGAAACTTTTGGGCAAGTCTCGATCGACGGTGGAAGATATCGCGGTGGCTATCGCAGTCGTGGTTATAGGGGAAGCCGAGGTGGATATCGTGGCGGCCGTGGAATC